CCGAGGGTTGCGATCCCATTGCCGGTCAGTAAAAAAGACAAAAAGGAAAAAAAAAAAAGAAGAAGAAATTTTGGGAGATTTGGAATGTTTTAGAGACTGGTTAAGTGGTGGTGACCAGAATGCTTATTGAAATATGGACTATAAAGAACATTCTAAGGAGGTTTCAGATAGAAATGAAAAGGGACTTATTGGAAACTGGGGCAAAGATCATGCTTGCTATAAGCTGGCAAGGAATTTGGCTGCATTCTCTTCATGCCCCAAAGTATTATCGAATATGGAACTTAAAGGTGCTGACTCAGGGTATTTGACAGAAGAAATTTCTAGGCAGCAAAACATTCAGGAAACTGCATGGCTACTTGTAACAGCCTATACTGAGTTGTGGTGGCAAAGGCATGACATAAAGCCAGAATTTGAAAGGGAAGCAGAGCATAAAGATTTAGAAAATCTGCAGCCCAGTCATGTGGTGGAGAAGCAGAGAGCATTTTCAGGAGAAAAAGGCAACCGTTTCACATTGGTTAAGGAGATTAGTACAAAAGAAAGGGATTATTAAGAGTAGGGAAAAAAGGCCCTCGAGGCATTGCAAAAGCCTCTCAGACCAACCCTTCTCATTACAGGCCCAGAGGCCTAGGGAGAGATAATAGTCTTGAGGAACAGGCCTCAGGTGCCCTCTGTAGACTCACTGCCCAGGGCCACCTCAGGATGCTGCTGCCCACACCAGCACCCTGGCTGCATCAGCNGTTAAGGAGATTAGTACAAAAGAAAGGGATTATTAAGAGTAGGGAAAAAAGGCCCTCGAGGAATTGCAAAAGCCTCTCAGACCAACCCTTCTCATTACAGGCCCAGAGGCCTAGGGAGAGATAATAGTCTTGAGGAACAGTCCTCAGGTGCCCTCTGTAGTCTCACTGCCCAGGGCCACCTCAGGATGCTGCTGCCCACACCAGCACCCTGGCTGCATCAGCTGCTCCAGCCATGGCTAAATTGGCCCCAGGTATGTCTGGACCTGCAGCTTTGGAAAATACAAGCCAGATCCTTGGTGGCATCCCTGTGGTGTTAGTTCTGTAGGTTCACAGAATGCCAGAGCTGTGAAGGCTTGGGAGCCTCCACCCTGATTTCAAAGGATGTATGGAAAAGTCTGGGTGCCTAGGAAGCGATCTGTAGGGGTGGATTCACTGCACTAGAGCAATGCTGAGTAGACACCTGGGGTCTGAGTTGCAGCAGAAAAACCTCAGCGCCATGCCTAGTAGAGCCATGGGAGCAGGACTGCCATGGAGACCCCCGACTTGTGGAGCAACCAGTGTGTAACACCAGCCTGCAAGCATTGCCAGAGACCAGGAAAGCTATAAGATTTGAGCTGCCTAAGGACTTGGGTCCCAACCCCCATACTAGCATGCATAGAATGTCAAATATGGAGTCAAGGTACATGATTTGCCAGCTTTTAAATTTAATGCCTGCCCTGCTGAGTTTCAGACTTGCTCAGGGCTTGTTACTCCTTTCTTTTGGCCAATTTCTCCCTTTTTGAATGGGAACATGTACCCTATGTTTGTCCCACCATTGCATCTTGGAAGTAGATAATTTGTTTCAAATTCATAGATGGGACTTTGAACTTTGGACTTTTGAATTGAAACAAGTTAAGACTTTGGGGAAGAAATGAATGTATTTGTATGTGAAAAGGACATGAGTTTTGGGTGGACAGGGGTGGAATGTCTTGGGTTGAATCCACGAGCGGAATGCAGTAAATTGAATGGCACCCCTAAGTCACTGAAGTTTAATCACCACTGTAACTGCTGAGGGTGGGAAATCCTGTTATGGTACTTGAAAGTCAGCGTCTTGAAGAAGTGATTAAGTTGATGGTTTAATTGTGGTCATGGGGATGATTCTGTGGGCTTTAAGAGGAGAGCACATGAGAGTCTCTCTCTCTCTCTGCTCCGCCACTTTTTGCCATGTGAGACCCCTGGGTCACTGTTGCCACTACCAAGGCCTTCACTAAATATGTTCCCTGGACTTTGGACTTGTCAGCCTCTGAAACTGTAAGCAATAAACTTTACCCAGTTTCAGGTATTGGGTTATAAGCAACAGAAATGAACTAATACACTAACTGTTCTACCTTTCAAAACAGTATCTTANGTTATAAGCAACAGAAATGAACTAATACACTAACTGTTCTACCTTTCAAAACAGTATCTTATTAACCTAAACATAAAGGTAGAAAATGCTATGTAAAAAAGAGTTAAGGAAATCATAAACTAGGCAAAGAAAGTTTTAGAGACAAAACATTTGACTACAATACTTTTCTTCAATACTTGGGGGTTTGCATTTCAGGGAAAAATGCTTACCTTTGCTGTAGCACAATACTTGATCATCTAATTCTCCTACTGAATACTACCTGAGATGGCCTATTGTCCTTTCAATAGTAAGAACAAAAATAGAATATGCTTCTTAATGTGTAATCTATAACTTGAACAGCATTGAAACACATTGTTAGGTAATTCAGTTTAGAAGAATTAATGGATTCAAGTAATTAGAATTCTATGCCTGGTTGTTATCTCTCAGTTGTCTTTAAGGATGCCTCCATGGAAAAAGCAGTGTAGCAATCTAAAATAGTACGGTATTAAGTAGGCATTTCTCTAAGGAAGATATACAAATGGC